TTGCTCTAGAATCTGACAGATGGCACAGAAACAGAAAGATGAGGGCTTTGTGTGGCTGTAGGCCCTGCTCCTTCAGCCTCCAGAGCTGGTCCCAGGTCTTGTGGTGGGATGCAGCTGTGCAGCCATTGTGGGAAGCTGTATTTATTCCTGCATTGGAGAGCATGGAATTGCTAATATAATAACAAGGGATTATGCGCCCTCAAGTTTTAGCTTCTTGATTTTCTTTATCTTTTGAGAAAGTGGGGGAGTTTCTCTTGAAATACTTGATCTGATTTTCCATCTGACATTTTCAGCTGTGGTGTGGTTGCCACTCTGAGAAGCCAGGAGGAGGGCGCTGTGGACAAGAGCTACTGCACTTTGTTGGATTGCCTCTGCTCCTGGGGGCAAGTGGGCCACATTCTGGAGCTTGTTGACAACTGGCTGCCCACAGAGCATGCCCAAGCCAAGGTAGGTTCACATCATGTTTCTCTAAAATTGGGTGAGTGAGGATAACTGTGTATTAGAAATTATATGCTTTTCTAGGGACATGTCTTTTCATTATCAATTTCTCTCTCTTTCTTCTTTAAGAGCAACACAGCTTCTAAACGTAGGGTCCAGATCCATGACACACGCCCTGTCAAACCTGAATTGGCATTGGTCTACATTGAGTATCTGCTGACTCATCCAAAGAATCGCGAGTGCCTGCTGTCTGCTCCTCGGAAGAAACTTAACCATCTTTTGAAAGCCCTTGAAACATCAAAGGTAACTGTGCCCTGACAGTTGAGTGGTTTCCTACGATAGCGGGGGGTGGTAAATCAAGATGTGAAGCTATCATATTTACAGTGCTATACAAGCGTTCTGGCTGGAACACACTTGAGAGTGATCATGTCACCTCATTGAGTTGGTACAAGGCACGGAGCCTGGCCGGGACAAGGTTGGGAGTCAAGTCCCAGTTGATAATTGTCCAGAACTCTTGCATTTCTGTTGCACCTGCTAGGGTGCTAGGACTTGGGAGGATGGCCCGAGTTTCTCAGAACATGTCCTTTGTAGGAGACGTGTCACACATCCTTTCACATGAACACTCATTCTCTGCAGTCCTTGGCAGTTTTTTCTGGTAATGTTTGGAGAGCATTTCTTGGGAATCCAGTGTGCTCCCAGCTGTCCCACAGAGGCTGTCATCTCTTGCTGTCCTCCAGGTGCCAGACCTCTGAACACCCTGTTATGCTGCCCTCAAGTGTGGCTGTACCAGAAGCAAAGTGTCAGCAGAGCAGAGCCAGGCAGATGGGGAGGATGGGGCCTGGTTATGAGGCATGGAGGGGACAGATGGTGCTGCGTGCAGGGCAGGGGCTGTGGATGGTGACATGAGCCTGCTTACCTGGCTGTACATTTTCCCATGCCACCCAGCAGCTCACGTCCAGGTGCAGAGTCAGCAGAGACTGGGCTTCCCCAGAGTGGTTCCAGCCTGCCTTCCCATTGTTCTTGACATACAGGGTGTGGTGGTGCCTTGTCAGTCAACATGTGGTCCTTGGGTTTTTTCCATTACAGGCGGATCTGGAGTCACTTCTGCAGCTACCAGGTGGGAAGCCTCGTGGCTTCAGTGAAGCGGCTGCTCTGCGAGCCTTTGGTCTCCACTGTCGCCTGAGCATCCATCTTCAGCACAAGGTGCGCCTGTTCCTGGCCCTTTGTTAGGATGATGCACAACGCTCTTTTTGTTACTGATTTATCTTCTTGTTTTTGGACAGTTCTGCTCAGAGGGAAAACTGTATTTGTCCATTTTGGAAGACACTGGCTTTTGGTTAGAAAGCAAAATTTTATCTTTTATTCAAGATCAAGAAGAAGACTATCTGAAGCGTCATAGAGTCATTTATCAGCAAATTATTCAGGTTAGAGGTTTTAAGACACAGAAACAATTCTCTTTACCAAGTTTGTTTTGTTTCAGGATTTCATTTTCTACTTTAGAGTGGTAATTTTAGACATTAATGTTACTCTTCTTAAAAACATACAGTGACATGTATCTAACTCTCTAGAGTTTATCTTTTCGCAAAGCATAAACTGCATAATTTTAGTGTAATTGTACATATTACATATAACAGATGTTCGGTTCTGGTTGTGGAATTACATAAAATATGTCTCTGGATTTCCTATGAAAACAATAAGAATTAATGTATCTTTATGAAAATTCCTTTATAAAACATCTTTGTAAAATCTGCTCTATAAGATAACTAGCACGTGGCTAGGAGAAACTTTGTGAGGCTGGATTTATTCCTTTTTTTAAATGACTTTTGGGGCTGGGCGTGGTGGCTCACGCCTGTCATCCCAGCACCTTGGGAGGCTCGAGGTGGATGGATCACAAGGTCAGGAGATCGAGATCATCCTGGCTAACACGGTGAAACCCCACCTCTACTAAAAATACAGAAATTAGCCGGGTGTGGTGGCATGCACCTATAATCTCAGCTACTCAGGAGGCTCAGGCAGGAGAATCGCTTGAACCTGGGAGGTGAAGGTTGCAGTGAGCCAAGATGGTGCCACTGCACTCCAGCCTGGGTGACAGAGCGAGACTCTGTCTCAAAAAAATAATAATAATAAAATAGAATAAATAGCTTTTGTTGCTAAGTTGTGTCTGTTTCTTACAGACCTACCTGACTGTGTGTAAAGATGTTGTTATGGTAGGCCTTGGTGACCATCAGTTTCAGATGCAACTTTTACAGCGGAGCCTCGGGATCCTGCAAACAGGTACAATAAGGGGTGTTTTAGGGCAATGAATACTCAGAGCCAGTCCTTCCCTCCCTCCCTCCTTTACTGTGTAACTCAGAACTTTCACTTTTAAGTGACTGATTATAATGCAACCTAGTATATACCAAAACAAGGGTTTGTTGGGTGATGCAGCCAGGAAATTCAAAGGTGTTTCTGTGTCAGACACGATTATATCCAGAGTTTGTGACAGGGTTCTCCTTGTGGTCAGCTGCATTGCCAGGCTGACTTTCCCTGTAGGTTGGGCCAGTGGCCATTTCCTGGCATCTGTGTGGGAAACCATCACCTTTTGGCTCTGCTCTGGGCACCTGCTCCTGTGGGTGGGGGTGTGAGTCAGAAATTGTCAGGTGATACCCCACAAAGACCGAAGGAAAGGGTTAGTGTAGGGTAACCCATGGCAACAGTGAGTGAGAGGACAGCCTTGGAGTCCCATCAGATGATGATGGGAAAGGGTGTGGGGCCAACCCAGGGGGAGTGCACCTGGGGCATTCCATATCTCCTTGGCCTTCTGATCACAGTCTGGTAAAGAAGAGTGCTGCTGAGCTGGGCCCCTCGCTCCTAGCCCATATTCCCTAACCCCTAATGGCCAGCCTCCCACCCCACTGCTTCTGTGGTGTAGCCGACTGCTGCGTAAACTTGTTTCTGGTTGGTTTTTAAATCAGTATCTGTAAAAGCTTCAACATTTGATGTTGACATTTCTTTTCTTTTTCTTTCTTTTTTTTTTTTTTGAGATGAGGTCTCGCTCTGTCACCCAAGCTGGAGTCAGTGGCACCATCTTGGCTCACTGCAACCTCCGCCTCCCAGGTTCAAGCAATTCTCCTGCTTCAGCCTCCCGAGTAGCTGGGATTACAGGCACCCACCACCACGCCCGGCTAAATTTTGTATTTTTGGTAGAAACATGGTTTCACCATATTGGCCAGGCTGGTCTTGAACTCCTGACCTCATGATCTGCCCACCTCGGCCTCCCAAAGTGCTGGGATTACAGGCATGAGCCACCGCGCCTGGCCTGATGTTGACATTTCTTTAAGTCTAGTTATTTGCTAGAAGAGATTGAAAATGATAACATTTAGTAAATTCAACATGAAGTTTTAAAAATTAGATAAGTTTGTAGTCCAGTTTCTAGTGGATCCATCTGTAGTCTCTTTCACATAGCCTTAAATATCTTCATGGCAGACTCCAGAGGGGTCTGTGTGTGTGGTCACCCCCAGTGTATTTCTCTTCATGACATTGCAACTGAAGTAGCTGCTAGTACAACACTGGAGCCAGGATACTGGGCAGTGTCTTAGTTAATCTTTAATTATAAGCAAAATTGTCTGTCATTTGTTTAACAGATCTAAAATTTAAGTTTAAATATTAAATAGACCAATATTATTTGCTTTAGCTTTCTTAACTCCTGACCTCAAGTGATCAGCCCGCCTTGGCCTTTCAAAGTGCTGGGATTACAGGCATGAGCCACTAGCCTGTTTAATCTTTATAATTCACTTCTATTGTGAAATCAGCATTTTATACTTAAGCTTGATGATTGAAACAGTCAAAATTATTTATTTTTTAAACTTCACTTATTATTTAGGAATTAGTTTTCCATAAGGACCAAATCTACCTTTATTACTTATAAAATTTACTTTTCGGAGGAGCTAATTGTAACTAGAATTCTAGATTTCCAGTGTAGCCGTTTCATTATATAGGTATATCTGTTCTCTAAAAATGGAAGAGAGCTGGCAGCACTGTTCTCTAATTGAAGTATTGAAGGAGCCACACTGCCGAACTTCTGTATATTCACACGTGCAATGAACACAGTTTTTAGTTTAGTGACTGAGTCCTATACACTATTACTGTTACTGAAGGTAACAGTTTTATACTTAAATTGAACAAATATCGCATTTATTTATTTATTTACTTTGGTTAGAATTTAGGTTAACCTGATCAACCTGGCTTTTGGTATTGGCTCACCAAATACCAAAGAATAATAATTCCTTATATGTTGCCATCATATACATGTGTTAAGTGAGAAATGTGTAATGATTTCAACAAACTTGTGTGATTGGCAAACTGATGTATTCCAATTTTCTTTCCAGTGAAAGGATTTTTTTACGTTTCGTTACTTCTTGACATTCTGAAAGAGATAACTGGAAATTCCTTGATTCAGAAAACAGATTCAGATGAAGAAGTAGCAGTGCTGTTGGACACAGTCCAGAAAGTATTTCAGAAAATGTTGGAATGTATCGCACGGAGCTTCAAGAAGCAACCGGAAGAAGGCCTGCGGGTACTCAGGTCTCCCCAGGACGGGTTTGCTAGATGGGCTTTTCAGGGCTGGGTACACCCATGCAGATGCATGAGTCCTGGCTGTGCTGTTAGGTAGGCAGTCCCTGGTGGTGAGGTACGCTGAGAGAGATGGAGCCCGGTGTGGGAGTCCCCCGTGGGGAGGTGCACTGA